AAGACCCCCTAAAAAAACAGTTATTCACGATTTGAGCATTCCTCATAATACACCTTGTTTCCCCCCCTGAAAATTTTGCATATTAAAGCATTGTGTTCAGTTTCTCTTGGGACTACTGTTATAACCAGGAGAAATTCAAAACAAAGGTTATGCAAAGTTTGGGGGGCAAATAAGGTATCTCACGGGAAATGAACAAGTGGCAATTGATGAAATTTGAATGTCGTTAAATGAAATGTTTAATTTGTGGAGGCTAATATTGACTACAGTGAAACCTGTACTTAGAACTCAGTGAAGAAAGCTTTGGGATACTGTGGTTTGTGTCTGTTTAACATGGCAGTACTTGAAAAAAGTCCTACTTGTTTGGTAAGTAATTTTGTAATGTAACTTGCTCAGGCAGGGATCCAGACCAAACCAGTCTGAGACATGCAGATAAATGTCCCTGGGCAAGCAAAATTCGGCGCGATCCGTTTCCCTTCGTGCTAAGTACTGTCAGCCATTTTCTTCCCCTCCTGCCCTCCCCTTAGGCTTTACAAGTTGGTTTTTCTCCACTGATGTTTTTCAGTGTGACATGTGCCTGTTCCTTTCCTTTGGGGTGGCGGCTCATGGCTGGGTTGCACTGTTGTGCCAGTCATGGGGGCATTATTTCAGTCTAGGGGCTAGCTGCCAATAGTAGAAGCCCCTGGATACTCCAGGCACCCAACCTCCAATTTAGCAATGCAGTTATTGCTTTTTGTCAAAAGTCTTTCCATCTTCGACTTTTCGCCTTCTTTTCTTCAACTGATGTGAAACAGCTCTAGCTCATAGTTCGAGGAGGCCTGACCTCTCATAAGCTCCTATAGTTTCTGTTAGGTCTCCTCGCCACTTCTTTTTTTCTTCTTTTCCTATATTTTTTGTAATTATTGTGTGGCAAATAAAATAAAAGAAAAATAAAAGAACAAGCTGGAATTCAATTTTTTAGCACTGCACAGGCTACCCACTTTTTTATATGGTGTGGCTCGAAATGTTTGCAGGAGTTTATTTTTGCATTTCGGCAATTTGTAATGTTTTGCGAGAACTAATTTTTGCAAATTAGAACAGATTGATTTTTCTTTCCACGAATTATTTTTTGTGGTTTTTATAAAGTCCTGGACCCAGTATTGATAATATTTTTGTTTTTCATTGAGTATACGCAATGGAAATACATATTTTGAAACAATACTACAGTATGCATACCCTATGTAAAACCAGTTTTTCATTGCAGACCGTTTTGTTTCTGAACAAAAAAGGCAAGTTTTAATTGAGAAAACACAATTTCTTAGTACTGTATTTTTGGGTGGCAAATTTAGTAAATTTCTTTGGGGAAGAATGTTTGCAGTAACTTTCGTTTGTGGGAATTTATATTTGCAGATCACTGGAAAAATTGCAAAAATTAGAGCCTGCAAAAAATTTAGTGCCACAACTGGGGCTACAAACACAAGCTTTGATAGAGTTCTTTCATTTAATGAGGGAAAGAAATGCTTTTCAAAAATACTAACTAAAAATATGCATATTTACAGTAGAAAAAATCACATAAAACTATCTAGGAAGTACTAGGTTAATAAATACCAGGAGCCCGCTCCTGTAATTACATAAACTAACATGTTAAAAAAGGTATTACAACATTCCTAGCTCAAAAACTTTGTCAAAGGCGTCTAACTCTTTCTTTGCACTTTTTGCTTCCAACAACGTCCGTGTTGGTTTTCTGATATCTGAAATGCCGATCAGTCCTAGTAGGTGGAGTAACAAAGAGTCCTTTACATTGATCTCTACTGGTGTGTTGTTCAGTCTCTCTAAGGCAAACTGAACAAAACATATTGCCACATTTTTGACACTGACATTGACCCTCTTTTATTTTTGACAAGTTCGAAGGTGATGTGCATTTGGGGCATGGTCTAAGCTCATCTGAAGTTTGTCTGGAGATTGGATAGGAGTAGTAAGTCTGGAACCCTGTACTCATCAAAGCTGTTTCATTGCTTGTGTCTTCTCTCCTCTCATGTAGGTTATTGCGATTAATGCTAGCAAGTGGCACTCTAATCAGATTATCAGGATATGCTGATTTGAAAGTGGATAGTGTACCATGATTCTCCTATGGAATGTAAGACAACACTTAGGGTCTTTTATGAGGTGAGCCAGCGCGGTTAGAGGGGCTGGCCCGAATTATGTCTTGTTACCTTGTAAAATTTTTGTTTTGTTTTTATGAGAACGAGGGCTGGCCCGGCTTGCTCAAGACAAGATTTTGGCATGCCGACCAACCCATCTCCTCATCTAATGACAACAAGAACTTAAAGAGGAAACAAGGCATGAACCGAGCCAGCCCGGCTAACCGTGTTGGTACACAAACAACTGGAAGTTTATATTAAGTGAACACATTTCATTACAAACTTTTCCTGGGTGCACTAAGGGTTATACAAAACACTAGTAAGCCAATAGGCAAGAAGATCTTGAACAAAGCAAGCAACACATAAGCTTATATCATTTTTATAAATAAGAATTGACCCCTAAATCAATTTACCTTTCCCTTTAGGGTGAAGTGTCGTTTTCTTTCATCTAAGAATCCTTTCCACCTTCGTCCAATCTGGGTGTCTTGTTTTATAACAGTTCTCCATTTTGAGCACACAGAAGCAAATCTAAACAAAATATTTTAGAAAAAAAATTCTGAAGTTTTTTAAATATATAGCCACAAGATTTCATAATTAACAAAGAACGTCAAGATGCAAAGCAGAAAGGGGCAATTGGCTCAAATATTAGATCAGAATTTTAAAATTCTTGAAATCATCTTCTGGAATTCCGATAAGCTTGGAGGAAACGACTTCAGCCATTCAAAACTAGTTGACTTGTAGCTGCTTATGTGCTTGGAAACAACGAGGGTGAGCTTGATTGAAAGGTTAATTTTAAGAGTCGCAGAGACAATCACTCAGAAATCCGGGGAGCATGGAAACTCGGTAAAAAGAAACTTCGATCAGGACTCATCCCGAACGTTGCCGAGATTTCGAGATCGGATGAAAAGAATTTTTATTAAATTATGCATTCACGTTTGATTGTTGATCGCACGCAAACAACAGCGAAGTCTGTGTATGCGCCGGCATACAGAACGCCATCAACGTACCTGCACAGATCTTGAGGATCCAAATAAGAGCAGATTTTTTGACAAATCTTTTGGCAATTAATGGACCTGAGATCCGAGATAAAGTCTATTTTTTCCTCCCCAATCAATCTTCCAATGATTCTGTCCTCTGGTAGCAAAGGCGAACGATGGAGCCCTTTTCGAACTGATTTCTCCGGATCGCCGTCTTCAAGCTCCAAATCGAGCTTAGACAATCCTTGAAGATCAATCGCCTGTAAAGAAGTAGGTCTTAGAGCCTTTTCTTGGGAACATGGTGGAGTCAGGAAACAAGACGCATATGATGGAAACGCTTCGATGGATGGAGTTGTGCGACCGAACTGCTGATTTCGTGGAGTCTCTGGTGACATAAAAGAGCTTGGTAGCTCCGATCGATCGTATTTTTCTCTGTGATCTTCACCAGTTTGCTGCATTGCTTCTATTTTATCGTAAATTTGATAAGACTTCATCCGGTTCAATTTTTTCTTGAACTTACGACTGACGCTGCTTAAAGACGTTTTGATTCAAGCGCCAAAGGTTGTCCTAAGGCGTCAGCCAATCATCTCTCGAGGTTCCACCAATGAGAGGCGAGCGGTTTTCTTCGCGCCTAATAGCATTTTGGACAAGGATACCGCTGGTTGTGAGGCTTTGTTTGGCCCACACAAAGTAGAACCCCACGGGGCGCTTTCCATTCAACAAAAATTCCGGTTTGAAATTTCGGAAATTTTACGTGCCCAATGGAACGGTACATTCCGGTTGCGCAGACCCAACGTTTGGTTATTGTTTTTTTTTGTAAGCAGGATACAAAAGAGCGGTACTGGGCAGTGGTGGATGGATACAGACCTTCAGATAAGGGGGAACCGGGTGGGGCGTTCATGCAGACCCTGATATAAGGGGTAAGGGGGGTCTGGTCTCAAAAAAAAATTTTGGGACCCGTCGGGCCTCAGTTTGGTCTAAAAATCAGGGGGGGCCTCCCCTGGATCCGCCACTGCTGGGGACAACAAAAGGGGCATTTCGGTCCGACCTACCGAAATGACCCGACCGGTCAAAGCTGGGCGGACCCTGAAACCGAAAGGTCCGTTCCATCTGATGTATCAATCGAAATTTCCGGAATTTTAGGTTGAACGGAAAGTGCTCGGTAACTCCAACTCTGAGGGGTAACGAGAAACAGGTCGAGTTGCAAGGGTTCGAGTTATCGCGGGTAGATTTCAAAATTCAATTTGCTATGTTGAAATTTGATCCGGTTTCTCATTTATACTTCAGTGTATGATGCAGCGCAAATTTACTTATTTCATCAGAAACGGTAACTTCTTGATTAGGCATGTTTATGATAAAAAGTGATCTGTTCGTTTCATAGCCTGTTCCAGGCGTTATAGTAGAGCGCGGGAGAAAAATTCACGAAGAACTCGCTCCCCACTAGTTCGAGTTATCCGAGTTCGTGTTATCGGGGTTCTACTTTAAGGGTAGAAGCGGAATCATTTGAATCTTGATATTCATGATTCCTGTCGTTTTTACCGCAATGACAGGCCTGTTTCAAACGTCGTGCTACTGCAGTGCTGAGCTGGCTCGACTATAGTTCGACTGCAGCACGACTTGGTTTCAGACGTCGAATTTAATTCAGTCGAATAGAACGGCTGTTGCCGAAAACAAAACAGAAAAATAAAGAAACGGTTAGCAAACTTTTGAATATAAAAAATAATTCTAATGTATTTCTAACTTATGAATTGAGTTCGGCACAGCGGTACCACGGCAAGCTTGTCGTGCTACACGGCAGTAGCACGACTTGGTTTCAAACGTCGCGCTACTGCCGTGCTGAAGTCCACCCCGATTCTACTGTATATGCAGAACAGGCTATACCGCTGTCAGACTGCGAACTGTCCCTTATTTTTCTTTTGAGTCATCAGTGGTTCGAATACCGTAAACTGCCGCTTATAAGCCCTGAGTTTTCGAAACAAGCTATAGCAGTGCTGATTAAAATACGTTTTGTATTTACTGGTTTAAGTCAAGCTTTAACGTCATTGAATAAAATCAAATTCATTTCAATACATTAGTTTAGGGGGGCTTATATTCAAATATTTTTTGGCTTACAGGCGGATGGGCCTATTACCACTGTATTACTGGGAGGGAGGTTATAGTTTACGATACGTTTTTTTTTTCGCAAGTAATAAAAAATCGACATCTTTTTTTACAGAATGATGAAAAAATCAACTTTATTCGTATCATTCTGAAATAACTCGTCAAATCCATGTTCAAATTAACATAAAGGTTTTGCAAAAGACTTGATCCGGTAAAAGTGAACCTTGAGTGACACAGGCCACGCGTTAGTTCTTCATCGAGTCTGCCTTCTCCCTAGCGTTGTGGGCCTTCAGTACGGACACAGCTTCCTCGGTTTTGGCTTGCAAGGCCTCGCGTGACTCCAGCATGTGAAGCAGCTCAGCATTGTCAATCTCCAACAGCATACCAGTGATCTTGCCAGCCTGGTGCGGGTGGGTGGATTGGATCAAGGGGAACAGACGCTCACCTAGCATTTGTTTCTGCTCAGAATGAGTGGCTGCAGCAAGGACACTGGGATCGAGTGGTTCTTGTCCCTAAAAAGACAAACAGAGGTGTTCAGAATGTGGTTCCTTCAGCAGCTATCTAGTTTAGGAAAAACAAGAAACAAAGTAACGCAAACACTCTCCCTTCGAGATTTTATCACTCAGCTCTTTTGCCAAGAAAGTAAACAAGGAAAAGAAGAAGCCCAAAATGCACGGTTAGCTTCATAAGTTGACCTGCTGAAATCAGATCTAATCAGGATCTATAACCCAGTAAATTGCCAGCAGGTGGTTGTCAGAAAGTTTGTAAGTATGCAGACTTAATGTTGACATAGGTGGTGAATTGATTTAAAATGTTCTTAAAACATAGCCAGTCTTAACGTCTTATTGATGCTGACAGTTTCGATGACTGTCAACCATCTTTATCAAAACTTGAAAAACATTAAAAGTGTCAGAAGCCTTAAATAGGCTTCTGAAGGTGTTAATTATTAAGGATAGGTGGTGAATTTCGGCACGTCTTACTAAAGAAAATTCATTAAGTGATTTTTATCGTCTTAAATTGTGTTTTGTTACTGTACTTTACATGTTCCTTGCCATGTTTCAAAGTGCTCTTCTTATTATTTTTCTCCTCTTTTAGCAGTAAGCACACAGTTCAAAAAAAGCTGATTTTGGCTTAACTGCATAACGTTCTTTCTGTTCTTACCGGTATGGCAATAGGCTGTTGAACACGTTCTTGGTTCTGCACTGGCACTGCTCCTGGATGTGTCTGTGGTTGGTTACGGACATTCTGCTGAAACTTGTACGCTGGCCTCGGTGGCTGGCCTTGCATTGCTCCAAGACCACGCACTTGTTGTCCCTGAGCCATACCTCCAACACGTTGGCCTGGACCTCCCCCCCCAGGCTGCTGCTGCTGGCCAGGCACTCCCCTGGGAGGTACTTGACGGATGCCTCTTGCCCTTGGAACCTGCCCACCGCCTGGCATTTGCATTCCAGAAGGTCGCATCTGCTGCTGTTGTTGCATAGGCTGCCACCGAGGACGCATCTGCTGCATTTGGGGTGTAAAGAACGGACGTTGGCTAGCCTAGGAAGGACAAGAAACAAGCCTTTTTAACACAATTGACCACTATTGACCCTAGTTTAAATACTTAGGACACTTTCAAACAGCACTATTCAACTTGAGATAGTCCAAAGGTCAAGTTTCATGGCATATCTACTTAAAACCAAATGACGAGGATTATTTGGCAAAATAAATAAATGTCAACATGTGACCGAAAGATAGCTTAAGATGAATGCAAAACAGACCAACGGGGATAAAATTCATGTGTACAGTAGTTTTAGGCAGTTTTGTTTGCCTGTTCTTCTGTTTCTAGTGCCGTAGTTATGTACAGCTCTGAACTGAGAAAACAACTTCGTATACAAATGTTTATTACATTGTCATATCCGAAAACACTGGGCATTGAAAATTAATCATTAACTATACCTCGATACAATGAACACTTTGCTTGTTTTCCCCAAAATTTGTTAAATCAAGGTTTTCAATATGACAAACACATTTCCACTGTACCTACAACAGGTGAGGAAATTTAAAACCTAAAGTTTACTTTTTCATTTTACCTGGGCCAATGGCTGCATATAAAATGCTCCTGCTTGAGGGAATACTTGATTAACCTGTTGCCCAGCTGCCTAAAATTAAGGAGATACAAACAAGCTTCATTAACTCTGCATTATTATTGTGCACAACACTTTCTTGCACTTCCAATATTCTGGTCAGCATCTAAGATAAATTTGTACTGACACCTTGCATGATTTTTGCACAAATGCAAACTATGAAAATAGTTTGCACTCATTCAAAATCAAGAAATGAAGTTGGATTATAACACTACTTTAAAAAAGTATAATGATGAGACATTTTATCTTGCTCTTCTTCGTGTTCAGACATAAAAGCCCTCAAAAAGTCTTCAAAGCATATGCAACATCTCAGACATATTTCTGATGATCATTATATATAGTGATCAGTATAGTCACCTTCCTTTAGTAAGCCATGCTGCAATGCATAAGCAGCGCAGTTCACAATAAGGGTCTTAACTTAAATACACAAAAATTAATGTTCCTGCAGCCATACTAATAGAGTGCTATACGGGGAAGCAATCTACTGCATAATTGCACAGGACAAATGTCTGCCCAAATACAAACTGTGGACAGCCAATACCAAGCAAAGCACCACAGGAACCGCAGGGCAGTATAGGACAACACAATTTTAGAGACGTCTTGCACAGTATTCACACAAAAAATTGCAACCATTTTTAAAGGTCTTTTCAACAACCACCTACCAGGAATGTTATTTCACAGATTGTACAAAACTACACATTCCCAGTCCATTTTAACAGAACTTTAAAGCTTGAAACTGTTTGTTTAACCAACTTCCCTCCTTTTTTCAGTTCACTTGACTTAAATCGATAGCTAATTATTGCATACAATAAAAAAAGCTTTCACTTGTTAACTTCTTATTAACTTCTCTGAGCTATGATTTATATTCCGCCTTGGACAACCAAAAAGCATTCAAAAACACTTTCCAGGCCACTACATTCAAAGTTGAAGAAAATTCAAGGACTTGCACAGAACCTGAAGGACTTTTCACGGAAAAATGGAATTCAAGGAATTTTCAAGGACTTACCCTAAAATTCAAGGACTTTTCAAGACTATGCGCACCCTGCTTGTACAATGACGTTATCTCTTTAACTCTGGAAAACCTTTTATCCAAGACAGTGGCAAGCAAGGCGGTGCTCTAGCAGTGCCCAGTGGCCCCGGTCAACTAGAAAACCTTAGTTATTTCACAGAAACCAGTTGCTGGGCACCATGGCTTTTACAGGTTCAGAGCCCTTGGTGTTCCGTCAAATTTTCTTAAAGCACAGCCTTGGTGGTAACCATCCAATAGCAGGCACTGCAGTTTCATCTTTGAAAGTACCAATAAATAATTAAAATACCTGCTGCATTCTCATGCCAGCTATACGCTGCATGTGTTGAGCTGCCAACTGAGCCTTGCGCTCCTCCTTACGCTGAGCCAATGCAACATATAATGGTTTTGACACCAAAATCCTGCCATTCATTTCTGTAACAGCTTTAGTAGCCTCTTCAGGTGATGAGTAGCAAACAAAACCAAACCCTGCAAGAAAACAATAAGAAAAGAGATTGAGTTCTTAATCTGTTTAGGTAAAGCCACTTTCAACTTCTATCACTTGTCCGCACCTTACAAGAATTTTCTAGCTCCTGTGTTTAAATAGTGGTCATTGCAAGGACAATTTAATTGTCGTTTATAGGACTTAATGAAGTCTAAAATAGATGATCTAATCCACGGACAATATTATATTTTTTTGTTACACAGAACTGCTATCAACAAAAAAGCTCTGCAGTGAATTGTACCAATGTTAGAGCTGAACACAAAAGAAGCATGTACACGATGCATGCATCAATCTCAGGATACTGAAGCACCACGCAATACGTCATAAGGGTCAGAGTATATTTTGAAATCTGAAGTACCCACGACAAGGCTCCTAAAAACATGTAATTCCAGCTTGTCCTATGGGCAAGCAGCTCTCACATTTTGCTTGCCTGGAGCCACTTCTTTCACATCTTACTTAATGATTTTGTTAGAGGATGACTTGCTTGGACTCTTGCCCATTGGACAAGAAAGCTTTAAGTTACTTGCCAAACAAGAAAATCTAATTGTTATGGACTAACAGATGACACTTTTTTCGAGCCCTGCCACAATCCATCAAGCTTTAAGTTCTTTAGTCTCTTTCGCAGCCATTTTTAGGCTCGTCACGAGGAGGAGTGTTGCGTGATGAGCCTAAATATAGCTGTGAAGGAGACTGCAAGTTCTTTGTCTAGTCAACTTATCAAGTTTGTCACTGCCCAGAGTAAGATTGGTTTTAAAATTCAAACAGCCAGTACACTACCTTTAGAATTCTCCTTGTCATCCATCATGACTTTGGCACTAGTGATGGTCCCATATTGACTGAACTGCTCACGCAGATAGGCATCATCAACAGTATCATCCAGGTTCTTGACATACAAGTTTACACCTTGGTAACGGTTGATACGCTCAATCTTCCTCTTCTCAAACTGTTGCTTAAGGTCCATTTGCCTCTCAGCTTTCTTCTGAGCCCTGGCAGCATACAGCTTTTGACCATTCCATTCCTTTCCAGTAAGCTCATCAACAGCCTTTGAATTTACAAAAATGTACATGTAATTCATATTGTGTTTTACAACATGGAAATTGCTATAATAAATAGTATCTCCTGCCACCTGCATCCCTCCCCCTAAAATTAATGTTAAGCTCTGCAATTAAGGCTCCAAACAAGGGTCACCTAAGGAACAGACCTAACAGATCATTGCTGGGAAGTGGATGTTGTTAAGACATAAGGGAATTTTAGCATCGAAGACAGCGACGGCAGGGAAAACCTCACTTTCAGATTGAATTAGCATTTTTCAAACTTTGCCGTATTTATTCACTGATAATGTCAAATGCAGGCAAATTTCCCTGGAGTTGATTTCTTGGGGACCGCACTCAAGACAAGAAAGAGAAAGAAAAATTTATCTTCACTTTTTTAAGTCCTGCATAAAATGTGAAACTAGGCACTTTCACGTCATGGTTATGTAGTGATGACAAAGAAATGTACAAAAAAATGTGATGCGCATCAAAGTTGTCTATTTGCTAATGAACCATATTGCTTTTTTGCTGTTCTTGTTGTCATCTCCATTACCATTGCTAAAGCTCCCTATTGGCACAAGAGTGAATACATCTACTGGGTCAGAGAAAAAAAGGACCCTGTTGTGAGGTGGCCATTGGTGGAGGTTTGACTGAACTTTAAAAGTCTTTGCATGCATTCTTAACCACCATCTTGATTCTCCAAAAAGTCATAAGAATGGAATGACCAAAAATTTCTCCATCAGTACCACAAGCAAGGCAAGGAGGATAGAGTAATGTACTGTTCAAAAGTAAGTCGACACTCCTTTTTCGATTATTCCGTATTTTGAAAGCTTTGACCAGATATTTGTCTGTTTAACAGTTTTTAAGTAGTAAGTAGGTGCAAGTTCTGACACATCAGCACAGTGCAGGGTTCTCGTTAAGTGCCTGCAACTGGATAACAAACTGGCTGCTTGAGGTCTGAGCCACTTTTGGGGGAAATGGGTAAAGTGAAGGAGTGAAAGCCTCAACTTGCCTACACCACTTGATTACCAAGACACCTACTTTTACATCCTAGCTGTCTACTCAGGGCTCAAAGTTAGCGACTAACTGGTCGCATATGCGACTAGATTTTTAGTTGTGCGCCTAAAAATTCATGTGTAGTCGCACCTGTGCGCCGTAAAACCCAAAGCACAATGCGACTGACTTACTTCCGACTATACTTACGAACTCGAACTAGAAAGACCGTGTATGTTTAATTGGTCTTTTCTCCCAATGGATTCTACGAACTTGAATGTTCTTTTTCGTTTTGATGTTTTACTCCATCCCAGACTCTTCTGTTTTGTGATAAACACCGCTGACACATGCAAATATATGCTACGAACGAAACACGTACTTTTTGGGCAACGGACGATCATGTCAAACATTCAGTTTTAACGTCAATCAAAACAAAAACAGTGCGGGTTAAGAGCCTTTTTTTCAAGGTAAGAAAGTTTTTAAAGTCGTATTCTAGTTACATGTAAGTCGTTGCGCATTTAACAGATTCATTAAAGGTTAATTTTCATTCTCGTTCGACACACTCATTGTTGTCAGTTTTGAATTGTTTTTCAAGTGTAAGTTTTCTTTAGACACAACTGTACTGTCAAAAAGAGAAACTAGTCTTGAAAATCACAACGGTATTACTGCGTAGCAAATCGGCTGTGTTTTATCAATCACAGTAACAAACCGAAGATGACAAATAAACGTGGCACTGTTAAGCTTTTTACTTTTTCTTTTGAAATAGATGCTCCCAACATTATAAGCTGTGCTCCTAAAATTTCGGCAGTGCGCCTAAAAATTTACATCTGGTAGCACAAGTGCTCCCAAACTCAAATTTAAACTTTGAGCCCTGCTACTTAAAAACGAGATGAGAACCCTGACACTCATTACCTTTTGAGCTTCTTCGGGAGTCTCAAAAGAAACAAATCCAAACCCTTTTGAACGTCCACCATCACTTGTTACCACCTTCAAACTCAGAACTTTTCCCAAGTTGTCCACAAGCTCTTTAAACCTAGCTTCATCCATGTCTTCACCAAAGTTCTTGACATACACGTTGGTAAACTTTTTTATTTGGTTTCCAAGCTTTTCTTGACGCTCTCTGCGGGACATCCACTTGGTGGCATAGCTAAAAGCAGATGAAAATAGAAAATAGGAGCATGAATTAAAGGGGCTTTTTACTCACAGACTGCCTACAATGGAGTAGTGTACCAATGATACTTGGTTCTGTTCTTCTCGAAGTTGCAGTGATTCAGCACAATCAAACAACTTTGTGCAATCAATGTTTGTTTCCCTAAGATCAAAACAAAGACATAAAAAAGCATCTCTTTTGTCCCGTCAGCATCTAAATAATATTATAAAGACAGTAGCGAGAGACAAGTCTCATTGTTAATGATTTGAAACAGTCTTGGTCTTCATCTTTGGTCTAGAGTCTTCTGTAGGTTGTTTATAAAATACGACTTAGATTTATTTTGTTGACTATGAACACGAAAACAAATCTGCTGGCAAGACCCTTGATGATCACTTTGTAATTCAAGTTGTGAGAACATTGTTTGGATTATGAAAAATATATGGAATGAATAATCCTTGTCCTTCAAGCCAAGAAAGTGAAATGCTAGTCCTAGACTTCATAAGCAGAATGTACTACAAACAATCAAACATGTATGCCGCTCTCCGACATCAAAAAAGCAAATTTATGTACTTTGTGTTAAAATTGTCACAAACAAAGATCTCAAGTCAATGAAACGGAAATGCACCCTTCAGATCTTAGATACCGGCGAGTGCGAAACAAAAATCACAGCAAGGAATTGAAAGAGCCCTGTTTGTAGCACATGATGTTCTTCCTCATTGACCGACATTTTGATCGCGTGGCTGTTATGTAGTGATGCAACAACACAAGTGGATTCCGGGAATTTTCATGAGAAAGCGAGTACTCTAGTTTCTCTTGAGATCTCAAAATACCCTCTTGCTGTTTTAGTAGTCATCTCCGATGCAACAGGAATTGCTTTTTGAGACCCGATCTTTGAGCAATCAGTAGAACAATCACCAAGACGATGGTATTGTAATCCTTGCCAAAACTGTCAAAAGTAATAAAGCCAGCTGAAAAGCCAAACTTTCCCCAGGTCCGGTTAAGGCAGACAAATTATGAACGTATTATGCTTTGATTGTTCCCTCCATCTGTCGCCACAAGAGAATCTGCTTTCGCAATGGACAAGTCACGTTTTAATGCGCTTAATTACTTGTGTGTGACAACTTTAACCCCAAGGGTCCCAACGAGCTACTTTGATCGGTATAAGTGCAGCGACCCGGTTTGGGGTCGCTAAAACTGGTACCAATAAAGTATGAAAAGTCCTTTGTCCTGTGCCATATTAAATCCGACGAAGGACTTTTTTTAAAGTCTACAAAACAACTTGCATCGAATCAACATCATGCAGGGAAAACTAAACCCTCAAAGATAACTTTGAAAAAAAGAAGTTTCAGCGGGCAGGTCACGAGGGTGGATGATTTTGATGTTACTGTACGCATTGGTTCACTAAAACCGCCCACCTGTAGAATTAAACAGTAGGCTAAGCTGGTGTTACTGGTAAAAAAAACCCTGTATATCTAAAAGCAGTCTGACTAAGAAGGATTGCTGAAGAGATGTCAGAGATCAATTTGCTACGTGTTGCAATAATTGGTACACAAAAGAAATTTTACGCACTAACAACACCATTTGATCTTGAAAATGTAAAGAATTCTTATCGAAAACGCCAATCCAAACAAAGAGAGAGAAACCACATCCAAACCAAAGTCGAGACCTACAAACAAACTTTATCGAGGCCGTGTTTCCAGATTTCGCAATTATTATACGCCACCAGGATCAAAAAATCTCGGGACATGATAAAACCCTGAGAGGTGCAAACCATGCGTCACGGGTCATTCATGATAAGAACGTTTAATACCAATACCGAATATTTCATGATCTGTCCACTGAAAATGAAACTCGAGGAGTAAAAACACAAAAAATCCTTGTGTTTCGGATTTTCTCTACCTAAAGGAAAAAAATTTCGACTTACACTTTTTTGTCATTCAACAACATGCCGTTGACTTTAGCAATAGCATCCTCGGCCGCTTCCTCCGTGTCGAAGTGAACGAAACCATATCCTTTCGAGTTGCCATCCTCTCCTTGAGCAATCTTACAAGAGAGGATGTTTCCAAAGGCACTGAAGGTATCGTACAGGGCTTTGTTGTCAATACTTTTGTCTAGATTCTTGATAAAAATGTTACCCACGCCAGATTTGCGAAGAGAAGGGTCCCTCTGCGACCACATAATACGACATGGTCTTCCTTTGATCGGGTCAAAATTCATCGTGTCCAGCGCTCGTTCCGCTGTAAGGAATTTAAAACCGAGAAAGAAACGAATTAAGACACATATTGTTCAAGCTAAGACCTGAAATCACATTTTAAAAAGCTAGCGAAGCTTCGTAAATTTCTTACCGGCAGCGGGTTGTTGAAAGTTCACGTAAGCATAGCCCAACGAACGACGAGTGACTATATCACGGCAAACTCTGATGGACAACACAGCCCCAACAGTGCTGAACTTCTCGAACAGCATAGCTTCGGTGACATCTGTTGCTAGATCACCAACGTACAGAGACGCTATGGGATAGTTTGGTGCGTGTGGAGCGGGATTCATCTTTAAACTTCTTTAGATTCACTTCGTTCTTGGCTGACTGTTTCCTCAAGTTGAATTTCTTTTGGAATTTTTATGGAAGATTTTGTGATTTTTTTGGCAATTTTTTCTGATTTTAAACTTTTTTTTCGATCTTTTTCTACGTTTTGCAAATTTTTTTGGCGGCTTTTAGCGTCGCTAAAGGAAAAGAACGCTAAAAAAACCTTTGAAATACTTAGCAAGAAGCTACCTCGTCCACGATTTCTCGAAGGTGAGAGGAAGTGTTGCGCCACGAGTTCTCTTATCTATCTGCGGGGGCTCCCCTGGAGACTTGCAGGGCTAAAACTCTGATTGGATAAAAATAAACGAACATTATTTCCGGTTACGTCATTCTTAGCACGATCCAGATAAAGCTGCAATTTCCGGCATTTCCTTGTAGTCACTAGGGGGAATACATGCCAAGGAATAAACGTTAACCTCTCAAACTTCATTTCTCAAACCCTCGTGTCGCGCGGATAATTTTAACCTTTTTTCGTTCCATTGAATAAATACACAAATTTTTGTTCGTAAACAAGAAAATACTTTAAGCTTCTATGCATGGGCCAAGTTAAAAGCCCGGGCGAGCCAAAAATAATCTTTATTTCTTCCTTAAATAAATTTTAATTTAAAGGAACTGGATCCTTTTCTTGGCACTCCGCCCCAAGTAACTAGAGGAAACCTGGTCCAAAAAGGAGGATTTGATTAAAAACGCGTTTTATTTCCTAATATGCCGCTGGAAAAATTATATCATTATTTTTTCAAAATAAATGTTTAATAATAATAATAAAATGTAATAATCAAATTTCAAATCGACATAAAATAAAGGCATAAAACGATGATTGTTTCAAATAAATTTAAAAACATCATTTTCAATCTGTTTGGTGTAAAATTTGTCAAATTAAAACAGAATAACCAAAAAAGCACACATCTGTTGTCAGAATAAAAAGTCGTGTGTCAGCTTCAAACCGGCTTTTAAAAAGATTACATACTATTCTGTCGCCAATTATAGACAAATTTTATTCAGTCACTTTCTGTTTATGCATCTACTTTTTGAAAGCCAACTTTTTAACTTCAAATATTCCCATTTTTAGATCCCTCCTTACCGGAAGTTTTTTTACCCCTAACATCCTGAAAATGTGCAACCCCATTCTAATAACTGTATTGAAAATGCAGCCCCATTATAGTCAACGCAGTCATGAAAATAAGACCCCATCCAGTGACACATCTCCTTCAGCCTCTTCCCCTTCATTCCCACCTCGTCTTTTAAAAATCCCCTGTTCCCTAACTCCTAAGAAATTGAAGATCCAATATTATTTAGGCTTTCAGGATAGACATTTTATACTCTCTTAGCCTTAGATGGCAAGCGGGCTCTGACACTTGTGCAGGTTCAGTGAAAAATTTGGGCTCGCACAAGTAAGCCTGCCAACAGGTTAATATCCTCTCTTGGCTTCTCCTCACCTGCAATTAAATGTTTCTTCCTACGAAGCTTCAAGTAAGGTATTAAGAAGGAATCCTTCAGGAATTTGAGTAATTTTAATTTTCAGTGGACAAAAACCCTGTACCAGAATATTTAGGCCATATCACCTAGCTTCTTTTTAACACTTTCTAAGGGCTGTAGATGCAATAAGTTATCTGTAATAACACCAAAGACAATTTCTTATGGGAGCATGAGCAAATAGATTTCAAATTTAACGGGAATTGAGAAAACACAGGTAAAAGCATCACGCATAAGATTTCATTTAGTGAAATTTGAAGCATTTGAAGTTTGTTTTCTCAGGCTCCCATACGAACCTTTTCTTTGGGGTTATTTCATAGAACCAATATTTTTTTATAGCCCTCGAAAAGTCTAAAAAAGAATGCAATATGCTTGAAATTATTCTGGTACAAGCCTAGGATTTTGTCCACTGAAAATTAAAATAATTATAGTCATTTTCCTAATGGATCCATCTTAAATCCTTAAACAGGGGCACCCAACGAGGATATAGTTCAAAACCACTTAACATAGCATTGTTGAATGTATTTTAGCATTCAAACGCTAGATATAGGCATATTTTTATCCCCTAAAAACTTTTCATCTGTTCGGATTTCCTAGCTGAAAATCTAGTGATCCGAAAGTGCCCCCTTAAATATGATCCTTCACTACTGGCAATGCAAAAAAAGGTCTCTCATCACATTGACACATTTTGCAGAGGGGGTATCAAGAATTCCCTGGTCCTCCTGGATTTGCCTTTGAGGCTGATTAGCACTATTACGTGGTTTCTTTTCCGGAATTGTAGACAAAAAGAAGTAAATGGAATTTGCTTTGTAAGCTTTCATAGCTGAATTCAAATTTCACACTACCCCTGGGTTATCTTAACCTAGCATTGAACAACCCAGCTCTTAACTATAGAATAATACCTCTTCTGCAGAACAGGTTTTATTTTTTGTGTAAGGGAAGTGCAAGGTGGGTGTGGACAATGAGCAAGTGTATGCCACGTCCACACCAAAACACCAATGTAATGGTATTAATTTGGTGAATTAAAACAACAGGGTTAAAACTAAGCTCAATATTGCACAGACATATTTTATGTACTGCCTTGTACCCAGACGTTTATCTCTCAATGAAAATTTGCATGCAAAGGAAGGCTGGAAGGAGAAAACAGACAAAACTTTGCCTCTCAGTTTTCTCCTTTCCATGGTCCCTTGTGCTTCATCACCAGTCACCTGTGTGTCACTCGCGTTTTACGCTTGCCCCTGTGTGAAAAACAAGGTGCCTGAGGAGGAGGAAGTTTTTTGTAGACACTAATTTGTTTGGTTCTTTTTCTTTTTTATTAAATAAAAGATAACAGCAGACTTTTCCAATGACCCTATGTAGATTTTAGTTTCATTTGAGCATGCTGGAAAAGCCTTTGTTCAAAGCCATAAATATTTAAACCAAGCTTAAAAAGATAGCACTTCAAAGGAGGGTTAGTGATTTGACAGCACTTTTAAAAACTAAGATGTAAGTGTAATGAAGGAAATGCAGTACACTGAGCAAACAGCACCAATGTTATTTTCAACTCAAGTTGCTAGTAAGTTATGACATAATATATTTAAAATTGCCTTTTAGTGTTGAGTTCCAGAACATTTTGCAATTATTCTTTCACAACTAGAAAGAACTCTCCTGGTGTCTAACTTAAGTCTCTATAATTACCAACAGCAGGGTTTGTACTCTTTTGAGCTCTCCAAATTCCATGACTTTCCAGGACTTTTTGAGTTTCCCAAGACCTTAGGTTTAGCTGTCACTTTGAAAAATTTTAGAAACTTTCCTTGTTTTAGGGTATTTTTGGACTTTAAACAGTTCAACAAACACAAACTCTGGTGTTCCCCAAAATGAGTTATATTTGGGCTGCTTAAAAACTCCTTTTTATGCCTTTTCATCTGCAGTAACTAATCTATCAAACAAAATTTTAATTTTCCATGACTTTCAAGGACCAACTATTAAATTCCATGACTTCCCAGGCCTGGAAAATGAAATGCTTAAATTCCATGACTTTCCAGGTTTTCCATGACCTGCGCAAGTCCTGAACAGTTATTTAACATCCAACTTTTAGATTATTTCTACACCCCCCTCCCCCAAGCCCCTCTTACATTAATTTTAGGCTGCACTTTTTCTTAATCATGAATATACCACAATGCCAAACTCTAGGGTGAACACTGTCACTTAATAAGTTTATAAAAGTTTATCAAAATTTAATCTACACTGAAGTACCACCCATCTCTTCCTCCTAACTTAATGCAATACAGGTTTGGGGGAGAAAACAGCTGATATTTTAGAATCAAGGAAATGAGCTTCTTCTGCCATAAAACCAGCTTATTTACAGCTAAATAGTGTGTCATCTCTCTGTACATTTTCTGTCATAAAGTACAAACACTTCGGACAAAATTATTTTCTAAAATAATGTTAGGCTTGTTGATTTTTTCTTATGTACTGTTCTTCTAGCTCTTTCCAAGGATCTTCGACCATTGAATGCCTGTAGTAAGCCTCAATTCCTGATGAATCTTGATTTCTCCTGTGGCCTCCTCTACCCTTTTTGAATATAGACAAGGCTGATCAGTATAAGTTTCTGGGAAAGAACAAAGACTTGGTAACGCTGTGATTTAAAAAGATGCAAACTTGCCTTTGTTTTCTGTAATATAGGCTCACAAATAACTTTAAAAAGTCATAACCATGCAAAAAAGGAGAACAATTTCATACCCTGGTTCTCTGTTGATCGTGATTTCCAGCGGGTGGAAAACCTCGTCTTGGCACAGACATTTGCCATTCCCTGGGCTGGAATGTTCCCCTTGACTCCTGCGGATGAGTTATCATGCCAAAAGGCCTCTGCAAATGCATTGAAGGAGGATAAGGTTGTCTTGGACGGAAGTCCCAATAAGCATTAGGATGTGGTTGTGGTGGAAATCCTGGGTTTTCAAACCGTGGTCGGAAATTTTGAGGAAGAGGTCTCGAACCGCCTTGAAATGGCGACGAATTTGGGTTACGAGGACCACCGTACATTTAAATTACAGCGCAAACTTTTCCCATCAATTTCCAGCCATTTCGTCCGCCATGTTGAAGCTTGGTAACCGTGTTCGAACCGACTTAGTACCCAAAGCCTCTCGCCATTGTGCGGCCAAAAAGGTCAGCCGTGTGAAATGAAACTTCATGAATTTTAGGGTAACGATTGGTCAACTCAAGTCAAAAAGTCAACTTTTGGGGCGATGAAGCCGCGAAAAAGAGAGACGAAAATCGGCTTCTCAGTCTCTTAAAAAAGAGTGATGATAATTTTAGTAGGGATCAAACCCGGGGGGCACTTGGGTATTTTTTGGGTGGGTATGTGCTGCCCGGGACTCCAAATTGGCACCCCGTTCTAGAAAAAATTTCCCATAAAATTGATACCCCGTTCTAGAAATAGTCCAATTTTTTATACCCCGTTCTAGAATTCGCCCTAAAATTAACACCCCGTCCTAGAAATGGGCCAATTTTT